ACTCACAATCCAACCAGATCGACATTAATCTATATAAAGCATCTTCGCCTCAATAAAAAGGATTTTTTTTCTCTCTTTTTCATTCACCATTTTTTTGGGTGTTGTGCCCGGTCGTCTATTATCTTATTGCGTAATCTACCAAACTCAACTTTCCCTCCACTTAACGCATTCATTTCCATCCCTTTTCGCTCTTCGCCGAATCACTGAAGCTCGCTCTCCGTTCAGAATCATCGGTTCACTCTTTTTCTCTCTCTCTCTCTCTCGTCGCCTTTTAACTTTGAAGCGAAAATTTGCGCAGAATGGAAAACGAAATTTGATGGTGGTTGATCCATAAAACAGAGTGTATCCTTTTTTTTCGTTTTTTTTTTTTTTTTTTTGGGGGGGGGGTTCTCTCTTTCTTTCTTTCTTTCTTTATCTGTCTGTCTCTCTCTCTCTCTCTCTCTCTCTCTCTCTCTCTCTCTCTCTCTCCTCTCTCTCTCTCTCTCTTCTCTCTCTCTCTCTCCCTCCTCCCCTCCCTCCCTCCCTCCTCCCTCCTCCTCTCTCCCCCCTCCCTCCCCCTCCCTCCCTCCCTCTCCATCTCTTTCCCCCTCCCCCTCCCCCCTCCCTCCCTCTCCCTCCCTCTCTCTCTCTCTCTTTTCGTTTTTTTTTTTTTTTCTTTTCTTTTTTTAACAGCGGGTGAAAAATAGAGAGCGAGAGGAAAAATAGTGTGCGAATTTCCTGCTCTTCACCATCACCCGCTGGGCTGCGTTGTTGTTATTTAATATCGTCGAGTGAGTATTGTTTTGTTAAAAGAGCGAAGCGCGGAGGAAATAAGTGACGTGGGTGAATTATGCAAGCGAGCGAAAATATGTAGGAGTGTTAAAAGGGAGGACGGGAATAAAAGATAGGTGGATGAAAGAATAAACATTTAATGTGTGGTGGTCCCGTGCATGTGTGTGTGTACATGCACGTACATGTATACAACACACACAGTCAGTTAGTCAGATAGTTACTCCCTTACTCATACGTTCAATCACTCATTCACTCACTCACTCACTCACTCACTCACTCACTCACTCACTCACTCACTCACTCACTCACTCACTCACTCACTCACTCTCTCTCTCTCTCTCACACACACACACACACACACACACACACACACACACACACACACACACACACACACACACACACACACACACACACACACGCACACGCACGCACACACACACACACACACACACACACCGTCACACGCAGATTTGTTCACTCCCTCTTTTCATTGTGAACTGATCCAAGCCTACCGGCATTTAAAGGGAAATTATGTGGCAGGATAGAACTTTGGACTCGTGAGTAAAGAGAGGAGAGGGAGAGACTGACCGCTGCAGACGAGGGTGAATAATTGGCAGGGTTACTCATCAATGATTCATCTTCCCTCCCCTTTTCTCCCTTTCTCTTTCTCCCCATTTCCCTTCAACTTTAGAGAGTGGGGACAAGTCAGGGTTGAATACTTGATTTGCCCACCTGCAGTCCCCGTCACCCCTTCCTTTTTCTTTCTTTCTCTTTCTTATTCTTTCTCTCTTCTCACTTTCTCCTCTCTTCTCTTATCTTCTTTTCTCTCGCTCTCTCGCTCTCTCTCTCTCTCTCTCTCTCTCTCTCTCTCTCTCTCTCTCTTCTCTCTCTCTCTCTCTCTCTCTCTCTCTTCTCTCTCTCTCTCTCTCCCTCCCTCCCTCCCTCCCTCCCTCCCTCCTCCCTCCCTCCCTCCCTCCCTCCCCTCTCTCTCTCTCTCTCTCTCTCTCCCTCTCTTTTCCGGATATATATGAATAGAAATCCAGTACTCAAGCTAGTGTCAGTGCACGGTCTATGTTCATATTTACTCCCTCTGATGAAGAAAAAAACAAAACAAAAAACAGAAATATTACGAATGGAGCTCCAGGTCGATGTATGGGCCATCGAGAGAGACACTAATGGATGCAACGGGCACATGGTGGGCACTCTCGAAGGGGGAGGGGGAGGGAGGGAGGGAGAGGAGGGTATAGGGAGGGAGGGAAGGGAGGAGAGGAGGTTTGGGGAGGGAAGGAAGGAAGGAAGGAGGAGAGAAAGGAAGGGGGGAGGGAGGATATGGGGGGAATGGGGAGGGAGGGAAGGAGGGAGGGAGGGTATGGGGGAATGGGAGGATGGAGAGTGAGGGATAAGGAGAGGAAGGAGATTGGTGGGAAATATGGGAAAAGGAAGAGGGGAAGGATAAGGGAGGGAGAAGGTAAGGATTAGCAAGGGAGAGGGGAAGGATGGGGAAGAAAGGAAGAGTAGGGAGAGGGAAAAGATGGGGAGAAGATGAGGGAAGAAGAACAAGGAGAGAGAGAGGAGAAAGGGAAAGGAAAGATAAGGAAAAGAGAGAGAGGGCGAAGAATAGAGAAGGAGAGACCGAAAGGAAGGAGAGGGAGCAAAGGTATAAGAGGAAAGACGAAGGAGGAGTGATAATGGGAAAGAGAGAGAGAGTGCATTCCGGCGCCAGAAAAAAGCGACCTTGGAGAACATCGGATGGAATTCCCTTGTCGCGAAAATGTGAACGAATGGCACCGAATTTGACGGGTTTTTATATATATATGAATTTGCATATGCATACGGAAAGTCTGCGAGGGAGGGTGGCGGGGTGTGGGGAACCAGGGGGTGGTGGTGGGAGGGGGTCGAGGGGGGGGCTTTACTCAAGAGGCGTTAGGGGGTTACCTGTTTTTTTTTTTTCTCTCTCTCTCTTTCTTTCTTTCTTTTTCTTATTTTTCCTTTTTTCTTTCTTTTCTGATGGGGGGTGGGAAGATCTTATCATTTCCTCTTGCTTTTAATCTCTTATTTGATCAGGACAGAATGAAAAAAATGCAATAATTATGACATCATATGGCAGGTAATTATGACACCTTCCAGCAGACAGGACACCATAAGCAGACACAGATCACACCATAAGTGGATAAACATGTCACCATACAACATACATAAAGGACACCATAAAACAGGCATACATGGCACCATACAACAGACATAAATGGCACCATAAAGCAAACATAAATGGCACGATACAGCAGACATAAATGGTACCATACAGCAAACAGATACGACACCATACAAAATACAAACATAACACCATACGGCATACGCATATGGCACCACACTACAAACACACATAGCACCATACAACAGTTTTAGCACCATAAGCAGACACAGCCGACATCATACAACAGACAGATTTAACACCACAAGCAGACAAACCCGACACCATACAACAGACAGATTTAACACCACAAGCAGACACACCCGACACCATACAACAGACAGATTTAACACCACAAGCAGACACACCCGACACCATAAAAGCAGAGAAATTTCAACCGCTGACAACGGCTTCTGTGGTGTAGCTCCTTTTTGGCCCTAAAGTGCTTTTGTAACATAAGCTTCCAGTTAAAATTCTGGAAATTATAATATGTTCGCGTAATTTCGTGCAGAGCCGCATAGGAGGATGCACATGGCTCTTACATATGTAGGTACGGTCCCACATAACGCACGCATGACTGTATCTGGAGGTTGGGCTTGGTTATGAGACTTAATTCGACGAATATTATGTTGTATAGGATTTCGCAAATGTAATCTTAGAGGTAAGACTGTAAGAAAGGGATTTTGTAAGTAAGTAAGAATGTAAGACTTTGGTTTTGTAAGTAAGTGAGAATGTAAGGTTGATTTTGTAAGTAAGAAGGAATATAAGTATTTTGTAAGTAAGAAAGAATGTAAGACTGATTTTATAAATAAAAAAGAGTAAGACTGTATATTTTGAACAGGAAAGCAATACGCATTTCTTAAACTGAATTCCTTTATCTAGACTATACTGGAGTAGAGTAAAAAGAAAGAAAGAAAGAAAGAAAATCGTGCGATTATCAATATCATTTCTTCCAAGCTCGATATGAAGTTTATTCTAGTTTGTAAAATAATTTTTGACTCGGTTCAACTTCAGAAAGGATGGGAAACGAAGGATATCTTATGCTGGTTAGTTCCTACAATGAATTAATTTATGTTCCGATTCTGACTTGTATACAGGTATCGTTTTGTTTAAGTTATGAATGATTTATCGTTTATGTATTTATCTGTTTGCTTATTTACTTAGTTTCCTCTCTTTCTCTTGTCTAAGTGTCATTAGTTCTTGAATATTATTAATCTATGTTTTAAACGCAAGATTACCATTTTGAATCGATTTTTCATGTATATTCTTGTATATAAAGGTTAGTGTGTACTTGATCTTTCACGTCAATCCTGATAGATAGTTTGATAGATAGATAGTGTATACTTTAGTTAACGAATTTATTGTATTGTTGAAAAAAATGGCTTTGATAGTTCAGATTAATAGTGATAGACTCGCAAGTACAGGCACGCACGCTCACACGCACATACACGCACACGCACACACACGCACACACGCTCTCACGCACACGCACGCCGTCACACACGCACGCCGTCACACACGCACGCATGCACACACGCACACACACACACACACACGCACACACCACACACACACACACACACACACACACACACACACACACACACACACGCACACACGCACACGCAACACACACACACACACACACACACACACACACACACACACACACACACACACACACACACACACACACACACACACACACACACACACACCACACACACACACACACGCACACACGCACACACACACACACACACACACCCAAAATACCTCTTTTTCTTCTTTATCAAAAGCCTGAGCTTCTTTGCACCAAGAGAATCACATCACTTTCCCCTCTCCCTTCTCCCCCCTTCCCCCTCATCCCCCCCTTCCTCCTCATCCACCCCCCTCCTCCTCATCCTCCCCCCTCCCCCCCCCAAACTTCCCCCTTTTTCCCCTCGCGATGTAATTATGATAATGAAGTGTAAGAGGAATCGCTATTTGGTTTCGCGGGGGGGAAGGGGGGGGGGGGCAGCGGGCGTGTTGCATAATGCACGGGCGTTCAGTTGCAAGAATAGATCGCAGAAGATTCCAGAAGCGCGGGAGCCAACGAGGGTTAATTGGAGGGGGAAGGGAGGAGAGGGGGGAGGGGTTGGGTGGGTGGGGGTGGGGGGAGGAGAGGGTGAAGGGAGGGTGTGGAGGGGGAAGGGAGGGGAGGAGGGGGTGAAGGGAGGGAAGGGAGGAAAGGGGTTTTGGGAAGGGGGGAGAGGGAAGGGGTGGTGGGGAAGGTGAAGGAGGAGAAGGGTGGTGGAAGGGAAGGTTTTTGTGGAGGAAGGGGTGAAAGGGAAGGAGAGAGCGACAGGGAGAAGGTAGGGGAAAGGGGGGAGGGGGAAGGGAGAGAGCAGCATGGAGAAGGTAGGGGAAGGTGGTTTATATAGACAGAGGCGGGATCCATAAGGAATTTCTCAATGTTTTATGCTCTTTGGGAAAGTCTGTGTCAGAGGAAGTTTTGAAAAATGTTGAAATTTGAGACAGCAGGGTTACCATAGATACATTTACAGATAGGTGACATGGAACAAAATACAGCGCATGCATATATTTCTCAAAAGATAATATTAAATATTAATAAATAAGGTAAAGTACGTGTATACGTTTACTGCTAGGTACATAGTGCTGTATAGTGCATGCATAGATTTATTCAATGAGAATAGTGGACAAAGTATTGTAAATGTTGGCGTTTATTGATACAAAATATCTTATTAATGATTGATTATTGCGAAAAATGGAAAGTAGGCTTATATGCCTGTTTTTTTACACACACACACACACACACACACACACACACAACACACACAACACAAACACAAACACACACACAGTCGCCCGCAATCCCCCCCCCCCCCATACAAAGCGTGCATCCCCGAAGTGGGCGCCG